GATTTCTCTCGCGTTTCTCGCGTTAAAGTGAGATAATGCGAACGATCAGGCGCGTCACGCGCTTCAGATTTGCGTCACGATTAAAGGTGAAATTCGCACGATTATCGATGCGCCGCTAAGCGAACCCCTGCCGTTGTAGGTGAGAGGATGTGGCCGGCAGGAAGTTCATTGTATATGGCTACACATATAATGTTGCATGCCGGACGATCCTGCATATTCGACGTAACATCAGGCTCTCGTCGCGCGAGAATCCGGGGAATCTCGTTTGATATGCTGTATTTTGAACGCTGGAGCGTGTTTATTTGTCTTTTGTTTATGCCAAAGTATATCATTCTCAAGATAATTATTTTTCCAGAATTTCAGTTATCTGATAAGAAGAATCAGAATTTGAACTTCATCTTTTTAATTTGTGCTTTTAATGGTTTTTTATCTCGTTTAGTCATACAAACAAATTTTTCACATAAGTAAAGTTTTTTTGCACGCTTCTGTTTTAAAGTATATGTCAGTCGAAGATTCAGAAATATTTATGTTCGCTCACAGTTGGCTGTTTAAATTATGTGTTAACAAGAACGCGATACTGATGTTTGGTCGAGAAATTCGTAACAATTGTTTCTCGTTAATAAGAAGATATATGCTGTTAGTATAATGTATACAATAAGTACGTAAACAAGTACGCAGTACGTAAATAAGTATGTGATAAGTACATAAATACGCAATAATTACGTAAAGAAGATAAACATCATATCATCATTACGACAGTTTTTGCGTATTAATAATTAGCTAATATTAATTTAAATTGTTCCTAGTATTATAACATTTTTTAAATGCCTAATTAATTAATAATAACAATTTTTTTAAATATAACTATATATTTTTTAAAATTTATATTTTAATTTTTTGATACACTTCTTTAATCAAATCGTGTATTTAATATTCAAATATGTATAATCATTCAATTAATACAAGAGTTTACAAGTTCTTGCTGACCAATTAATTTTTTAAATATTAAATAGTTTAAAATCTTTTTTACTTTTGCGTAATAATTTCTTTCGATATTCCTGTTTTGACCAGTTATCTCCGTTGATGTTACAACGTATTTAAAGCCGGTGTATTAGACAAATCACATATCCCGAGCGACATCGGAGAAATGAAAAATCATTTATTATGCTAAGTAGGAGTTATCGTACTGATTCGAGATTTGAACGTCAGGGCCGATGTTCAAAGCATGGATGACTGAAAAAATTCCTTATGGATGTTGTGCAAGCTTAAGGTCATCTTCTAAGCATCACCTTGAGATAAGAACTTTACTAGGCTTATGTGTTTAGTATAAATAATACGCGCGCCTGTTTTCACATCATTTTTAACAGACAGACCGCTTTAAAAATTTTTAGATATATTTCTCGACAGTAGACGACATTAAACAACATGAAACATGTAAATTTGTTTTGTATCTGAAGCAGGAAAAAATTGTCCCCTCTACTTTCAAAGTTTCTTACATGAAAACACGTCGACAGAATTAAAGATATTGTAATAGTGCAAGCAATATAAGCAATAAGGATATAGCGCATTGTTATTAAAAGATGCTATATTTATCCACATTTATCACAGAGGTTAAACGTTCGATAACTTAAAGATTGCATAAAAAATTGATTTTAAGTTAATCACAAAATGCTCTTTGAAAGAGCGAATTCTTTCCGGTTTGCACTTTTTTTTCTGTCGCACTGATCTTTTAATTGTTATACAACAGGAATTTAACAGTGATTATGAGAATTGTGATTAGGGCTTATAAATTATTTCATGTTCTACCTGCAGGAAGAAATACTGGACCAAAACTATTATCGCGTGACCCCGAGCTCTTTTCTTCTCATCATTTGAAGACGAAGGGGGAAAAGATTATTAGTAAGAGAGTGAGTTATGCACTATAGATAAGGGATCGAAGAAAGTGATTTTTTGTGGATCACGCTTCTTCCTTTATCGGGCGGCGCGGCGGCAGAATAATTGATTCGTCAAGCGCGCGAACGAGAAAGGGTTGTGATTCGAGAGTTCGATGACTTATAATATCGCGCTGTCGTAAAACTAATTAGTAAATATTAATTCTTCCGCTAGTTCGCGCGCGGCCTGCATCTATTCGTCACGAGAGATCGAGAAATAGAGTGTCACAATATGTAAAACATTAAGATTAAGTTGCATTAAATCTAATAGTAATAATAATATAATTAAAGATTAGTTTAAACGTACTCATTAAAATTATTTTACTTGCAATCGTTCCAAATTATTTCTTATGCTGTTAATTTGTATTGCCAGACATTGTCGATAATCACGTAAAAAAGCATTGTTTTTAATTTGATACTTATGGATCTTTGAAATAATTGTCATATGCTCTTGTCGAAATAATATGGAACTAAGGAAAAAATTATCGTTTTGTTTGATATGTAAGGATGACACATAACTGAGAAAAAACGTCCGGATTGCACACAAAGTTGAGCAACGATCTGATACCAGAATGCACGTTGGCGGCGATCTTTTTGAGGAGAGTTAAATTGATAATTGGTACCAATTTCGTTCTCGTCAATTGTCAAACGCATTGATTAAAACCTTTTTCATGCCGAGGCCTTTCGCACGCTGTCGCAATGGATCAGTTTACTTTGCTACTTGAAAGCAACGAAGTGAAAGTAAAATTTAATGCTGATCGCTATAAACATATACTCTTCGTAAAATTTGAGCGTGTATAATTTTTATCTCATAAAAGTTTCACTAGAAATTTACGACATTAATTATTCCAGCAAACGAAAATAATACGTATTACGAAAAATGTAATAAAGTGCAGGCTTAAAAATTTTCAAAAATTGTGTTTATGCTTTTTATTGACGTTTTCGTAATATCTAGAATAATCTTCATATAAATTAATAAGATTATATTAATTATAAAGAGAAAATAATAAACTATAAATAATTCGAAAAATTCGTATCGTGCGTGGAGTTGTGGTGCGCGATACGACAATGCGATCGGTCATATAATTCATGTAATGAACAATAATCTGAGACGAAGGCGGCGCGCGACAGAACGACGTTTTCGTCCTTCTTCGTAAGAAAGGGATTAGATGGCCCTGTATCCGTTACGTGCTCGTCTTTCATCCTCGACGCTATGCTTATGGGCTGCCATGATGCGCCGTCGTGTAGTTAAGTTAATTAATGAATGGTACAGTCGGGCTGGAGAGTGGACTTAAATTGATACGTCCTTCGCCGCTCGCGCACAGCCATTTTCGTGCCATCGTCGTCGCTCGGCTTGCAACTGGGGATGCTTAGGACAGTATCAAAGTGCATCGATACTTTTTCTTTTGTCCTGAGCATTTTTGACATCGTCATTTCATTTTCGATATTGAGTACCAACGTCCGGAGGGCACGTGAGAATGTATAGAAAGTAGAAATCGCCAGATAAAGAATTAATAAAATAAATTTGAAATCTGTTATGTATATTTTTTATAATGCGTATTATTTGCATTGATATTTGTTATTTTCCTTGATTATCGCAATTGTCAATGCTGCTAGGTATGTCCCTGTTTATAATAGATACAATCTGATCAGAGATTATATACATTATATTACATTCAATTTCAATGTTAATAAGGTTTTTATTCATTTACATTGAAATTGAATGTAATATAATGTAATCTGATCATATTGTATCTATTATTTTAAACAGAGCTACGCTTTTGCTGAGAATGACGGATAGGATCGGTGCGCTTGCGATATTCAAACAAAAATATCGGGATTCTATCAAACTTAAGCAGGTCTACTCGAGGTAAGTGATTTTCTTGCGCTTCCGACAAATTGACAATTCAATGGGAAAAATTGCGTCACGGCCGCAAGGATACGCATACGTGCGTTGCATCGCCGAGGAATGCAACTAGGTCGCCGGTGCGATAAATCGACTCACCGACATAGATTTTGAATATCACAAAGCGCCAAGATCTTTAAATATTCCTCATTAATTAACACGTCGCGTCGACGACAATACTCGCGCTTGACGTGAAAGCCGATTAGACTGCGAGTAAAAAGCATTTGGCGAACACATAAAACGTCATTATACATCTATCCAGAAAAATGAAGAGTTTATTTGCAATAAAATTTATATTTTGTTAAGAAACAAATAATTTTGTGATTTTCAAGGAATATAAAGTCAGAATTCCAACTCATTTTAGTTAACTTGAAAAGCTATATAATAAGATCAAAATTATTTATAGTACTCCTATAAATTAATAGAAAATTAATATACAATTTTTTATATATTATTTATAATTATGAATAGATATAAACGTATATGTACATCGCTACAATATTCAAATATTTCTTTAAATAGAATTAATCAGCTGTATTCGATCATCACGTGTCGTATTTATTAAAGTTACACTATTATTAATATTATATCTGTACGAATTAAAATAACCGTGTCTTAAGAAATGTAGCGTACATTTACACAACAAGACAGTACGGTTAAAGGTAGCCATAAATTAGACTGATAAGCGCGAAAAATTTCGTACAGGCCAAAACATCGTGATCAGTTCGCAAACGCGCAACATTGCAGCTTATCAGCTATCCATTAATTTCGATACACATTGCAGACCGGAGTCAAACAAATAAACTGTCGCCTCATTACCAAAATTGCTATCTATTATCGGTTTCCATTTTGCTCGTGCAAAAAAATACATTCGCGCCGTTTCTTATCTCAGCGAAAGTAGACATATTCCGCATTGGAATACGCGAGTCGCAATTAAACGTGACATTATTTCTTTCATAATGTTGTCCTAAGAGCAACATTAGGAGTACCATTTTTAAAAGTGACTTTCATCAGGAGAAGAAACTGCTCTCCCTAAACTTTAGAGTCTCTTTCTCCCGACACGTAAAACCTTTTAGCGTTATATTCGATTACGCAGGTGTCGATTATTTACTCGCGCCCTGATATCTATAGCTTCTTCCTATCGCACAGTCGAAATCTCCTACCTGTGTAAAGTCTAGGTCCGGGCATTTGTAGGCGCATTTCTCCTGGAGGGTGGTCGGCGGAAGAACGACGCGGTCCTCCAGATCCTCCGGCAGGACGGCAACGGCCGTTCCTGCCAGCACCAACACCTTCAGCAGAAAACATAATCCCGTTCCTAACATAATAACCCCCTCCCCCCCCGTAGATTCTTGCGCACGAATCAGCTCCCGCGCGATTCCCCGGGTCGGCCGGTTCAGCTGCCGATGGTCATCGCTCCTCTCTCGATCCTCTCGACGATCCGCGAATGAGACGCGCTAATCGAGACGATGCCTCCGCATGGTCCCCCGGCGGATCCTTCGACGACACGTCGCGACGCCCGTCGTCGTTACGTCACGTGCCGCGGAGGTCACGTGCCGAGCGATCGCATCAGCAAGTGCGTCGGAGTTGCGGACCACAGATTGGCTACTTCCGCTAAATATCCGGTGAAAAATGACGGGGGAGACCCCAGGCGTCCTGGAAGAGCGCACGTTGCGCAGTTATCTCTCGCGAGGTAGATCCTAATACCGCTGTCAAATTATTTGAATAACAATGGAATCCAGCGTGAGATCATTCGCATCGTCCGAGCACACGCGCGCGAACGCGCCGCTATCAATTTTTCTCGTTATCGCGGGGAGACCGTTTTCCACGCGCTCGCCTCATGGAGCTCTTTATCTCCCCGATGTTGTATTCTCCGATTTTCCTCGCGATGTCTCCCACGATCGAATAACGGAACTGCGGAAAAGCAAATAATCGCGCTGTTTTTCTCTCTCGATCTCACGACGGGAACCGATGACGCGCGTGCATCCGGTTGCACCCAAGGCAATGCAACACACGCTAATATAATCAGTCCCCTTCCGCGGTTTCTTTCAATCGGCGAAGCGATCGAGCGATAAGAAACGGGCAACGATCGTATCGGAAACTGCGTCGATCGAGGAACTTCGTCTTCGACGGCACCAGGCACAAAGTCCACCTTTGACTTTAGCACTGCGAAACTCGTTCTCCAAAAGTAGATCCTTCGCGGCAATGCTCCGCGGTGGTCGCAGGATCCTCCGTCACTTTTTCGCCGCGCAGATTCGAGCGCGAACTTCCTCACGTGATCTTCGACAAACTTTTAGCTTCGCGGAAACTCGCAATTATCGCGTTCGTTTTTTTTTTTTACCACACGCGCGCTCCGGAATTCGCTCTTTTCTCTCCTCGTCGTTCCCGACACGGTCCGTGACGTTCGCGTCACGCGGTTCGAGCCGAGCGGCGCGCAACGCGATCGCGCTGTTCGTGGCCGGCGAGCATAAGAGCAACTGACTCCGAATGGCCACTCCGGAGTCAACCATCCCCCACCATGCCACGAGCACCCTTATCTTGCCGTGCAGGCGTGCAGCGTGCACTCCGGTTGCGGCCAATTCGCCTCGGCGAAGGTACTCCGCGCGCTTCTGTGTGGGTATACCGGGAGCGCAAGAAAGGAACGATCCGCGGAGAGATCCGAGAGATCCGTCCATTCCATTCGTGCGGTACCGACTAGTAGTTGGCTGGTCAATTGGCAGATTGACCTGTTCTTACTATCCTCGTAAACTTTCATTCATCCATTCGCACGTGCCGCTAGCTAGCAACCGATAATTATCTTGTCTAGGGGTTAACGGACATTCATAAATAATAACCCATCGCGAAAAGGCGAAGCGGGCCGAGTTGATTTTAGAGACTTTACACGCTTGTTACAGGATATCATAAGAATTGATTAAAAAAAATTCCAGCTTTGCGCCGTGAACTTCAATATCTAATCCCCTGACTCCCGGATTATAATCCAATAATAGAAATAATATTTTCTTAAAATATTAAAAACTATTTTTTTCTGCCGAGTCGCGGTAAACGAATACGTATCTTTTGTAGCTACATATGATTACAATGCAAAGTAGATTTTTTTAAGAAGATTCTTTCAAATATTCGTTACAGGGCACTAATGTTTTGAGATAATATTTAATGCCGCATATATTCCAATACTATAGATGGAAAGTAAAGCGACTTTCGTTCCTTAGTTGGTTCACGTCGCGAGTGATACAAAGTAAATTTGAACGTCAAACGAAATTCTTCCGTGCGGACCCTTCGGAGAAAAGTGCATCGCTCCAAAATCTATGTATCTTTGACGCCTAGGACTTGTTAATGATATCCCTTCGACCCTGAGAGGAATTTAAAGTTAAAACAAAGCCGGCCTCTTCGAAAAGAAGGAATCGATTCTGCTTGTGATTTTCATACAGCGCATCTCTAAGAATAGAAATAATAAAAAAAAAGCTACACGTAATAAAAATATTCACTTTTGTACTATATTAACCCGTAATATAATATTTTCTTTCTCATTTATCATTTTTAACGCATCTTAGGGGAAAAAAATTACAACGTAATTGTCGGCAAATTTAGGTTCAGTCTTGCGCTTCTGCGAACCCTTTAGCTCCTCATCGACTGTTATTCTTGTGAACATGTTTGTTAGCCGTGAGCTCATCAAAATGGTGATTTATTTCGACAGATTAAATCTGCGGGACAACGAGAGCCGGTCGCAGTATTTGTGGTGCCATTGTTAGCTGCGCGACGCTTCTTTCTTCAATGACCCGGAGGAGCTAAGTTGCCTCGAGAACGCATATAACCGATCGACTCAATCCTGGACTCGTACGTCGCGTACGCATCGAATTCAAAGACTCTTTTTCATGAAGATGCCACAAAAGCAGAAGCAAATATGTGTCGTTCAAAATACATCGTGTTCTCTTCGCGCGTCATATACGCGGCTATATTTGTAAAATCAACGTTTTTTAAATAAATATCACGGTATTTTTAGTAACACCGAACGTTTCAGTAATGTGGTAAACAGGGAATATTGTAGAAACATTGTAGGAATATTATACAAAGGCACAGACGTACAATATAAGGCAGAAATGTTCGAATCTAGAGACCGCGGTTATAACAAGGAAAGCTATGCGATACGAATGCGAGCCGGTCATGGTGAAAAAGTCCAGTTTAGATCTGCGTTAAAGTCTTAACGTGTTAATGTCTCGGCCGCCGCTTGACTTCGAGGCAGACGGAACATGTGCGCGAATTCTTGGTCTAGGTACGTCATATATCTGCCGCGTACAGAAATATGTATTATTTGTCTACACTGTAATTCTAACGGAGCTAAAAGAAGATCTTCCTTAGAAACGAATAGAAGATAGATTTCTATGTGATAATAATTATTAATTTCGAAGCGACATTTTGTAATGCATGGGTCACTTGTTGACTTATCATCGATGTCTTGAGTCAAATTATCGATTTTTTTTTGTTGCTTACATATACGGAAAGAACGGTTTTGCTAAAGTATCTAAAAATTTAGCAGATCTGAAAATAATTTCCTTGGACTATCAAAATAATTTTGTAGGACACTCAAGCTAGTTGTTAGAATGTCAAAACGCTTTGCAGCATTATCATCATGCTTGAACGTCCTAACGTAATTATTTTGATGGTCCAATAAATTATTTTCCGACCTGCGTCTAGCTATATTTTTAGATAATTCGGCGTAGAACCATTCTTTCCGTATCAAATACACAGCGACAGCGTTAACTGAATCAAAGGCAGGAAAGTTTTTCTCGCAGGAAAGCGATGAAGGCCTCTCGAAGATAACGGCATTAGCTTTTCCGTCCAGCACGCGCGGTAGGATCGACGCAACTAGAACGGATTAAGGATATAGCGTTTGTTGCTGGCGCATAGATCACGATGATGAGCCGTAACGAGTGCGTGTCGAGCGGCAGGGCGATCGTACGCGCATGGCATGGGGTACGAGCGCACGTCCGTGGACGACCAGGAGCGCGCGGCGATCCAAGTACGTACGCTCGCGCTCGCGCTCGCGCGATCGGGCCGAGCGAGTCGGAGCCGTTGGAGGTCGGAGGTGTATATTGGCCATTTCCGCAGGAAGCCCTAGGTAACCTGTAACCGCCATTGAGTTTCCAACTGAACGTGCCACGGATCTGTGCTATCGTCTCATAACGCGATACCGTGCATTGCGCTCTGGATCTCGCTCGCGCCCCCGAAACGTTAATTCTCGCCGATCCCCCCCTGCGCGCCCGATCCCGACCTTTCCACCGTGGCTCGCAGGAACAAGCGGTGTTAATTTCTCCCGGCCGATGTGACGGAGAATTCTCCGTTTTACATAATCCTCTTCATGATGTCTTCCGTTAAAAAAAGTGAAATTAGAGATATTCACTCGTAAATAGGTAGAACTAATGCGATAACATCAAATATTGATGTTAACTAACTCATCGAGATAGTATCGACGTTCGACAAATACGTGTAACGTATCGTAATTTGTGCGATAAAATCAGAGCAATTTTCCGAATTCAGTTCGATACAAAGTGTAACAAAATTAAGCTAATTGTTAGAGCGGAAGAGGGCGGAGAAGGGGATCGACTGTAACAACTGGCGGTTCAATTCGCGGCGGCGACTGCTTTGTTTTGCATGCAAAGCAATTGCTGGACGAAAAGAGCGGCTTTTAGGCGTGAGTCGTCTAGACAGCGCTAGATCCACCCCGCTCCGCTCGATACACCATAATTCGGGTCTATTAGGCCCAATAAAGTGTATAGAGAGGAGGAATGCGCCCTGAGCCAATGATAAATGCGATGTCCGTTGGGCCGTTCGTGCGCGAATGCACACGACATATGTGGGGTGCGGGTGGACACCTAATTTAAATTGAACGCAGCTATCGGGATTGTCATATCTCTATGGGCATATCGCACTTTTGCATTGGGAAGGCTCTTGAAAAAAAATTGCGATTGATCTTTAATCCTCCGCCTGTATGCATTTTTTTGTATCCTCGGAGTGTATACATGGGTCACGTTCGACGCTATTTTTCCCTACCTTAAAGTATTTTAAAAAATCTGAAAAAAATCATGAAACATCTGTCTGCATTGTAAGTTGACGATTTTATAGTTATTTTGATAAACATCGGTCATTTAATATTTTCTGGCAGGCTTGCAAGTTTTACAGTTACGAGCAGATATTTTGGTTTGGACGTCGTAAACCCATGTATACAGACAGAGGGATAATTTTGTCAAAATCTGTGATAAGATTGTCTTAATTTAATGACGCCCTATTTTCATTAATTCGTTGGACGTATAAATGTGTGTATGAAAATTATTCGAAAGTAAATATAGGCATTAATTAGCAATTTTTTCCATTTATCATGAGCGGTATGCTAAGTGATTACATAAATTTTCGACAGAGTCCGCCACGAATTGACGCAATTAAATTCCGTGTGGTCAGAGAGAAGCCTGAGAGACAGTGAGAGAGGCCATCCCGACCTTTTTCGTAGGACCGTCGAAACCTACTCCTGTACACTATTGCCAGCACATCCATTTTCGAAATTGGTACCACGTAGCCACGTTTATTTTCCGACAGTGCCGATAAAACATCATTCTGATACGCCGCAAATATTTACTAATGATAATAAAATAATAGCAAATATTGTTTACACGTGATAATAAAAACATCTATTCTTACTTGTAATTTTACTTGTAAGCTATAAATTTGCATTAATTACGATTTTATGTAAAAAACCGATTGCGTCAAATATGTATAATGAATATTCCAGAGTTACATATTTATAATAATGTATCCTAGCTCGATCATCCATTAGAAGGTAATATATTTATAAAAAACATTATATCTATCTATAATATTCTTATATTCTTAATTTAAATTTTTATTTTCTTAAATATAGTTGTAATATAACCAGAAATAAACATAAAATTTAGATGTGAAGCAGTTTACAGTAGTAAATAAAAATAAATAATACAATATTTCATTGCTGCTGCTTATTGAATTTAAGGTATTTGTTAGATAATTTAATATAATTCTTTTGCTTACTAATAATTATCGAAAAAGAATTGTTATACAATATATTTACAAATCCATTACCTCAAGATTAAGATAAAAAATAATTACAAACTCACCGATATAATGTGCAGCAGCGGAGTTGTAGTATGTAAAACGCGAATCTGTAAAATACAAAATATATCTAAATTGAAGTATTTTGCAACGTAATTAATAATACATAATTTTCGATAAAACGCTGTTAAATATTAGCTTTTATAAAATTTTTTATGTCATATTACATAAAAAATTTTAATAATAAAAATTTAATCCTTATCCAATCCAAACAGTTATAGGTAAATCTTAAACATGTTGAAATATTTCACGTATGTCCTCAATATTAAACAAACATTTTTCAAATATTCTACTCGATATTTTGACTATTTTTCAAAATTAATCTAAAATATGTAACATACATTATGCAATGATAATATAGAACAGTACTATGCAACAATTAATCCTTAAATTATAAATATATAAAATAAATTAGGAGATGCTCACCTCATGGTTGCTCCGCTGTCGCCCGATGCCTCTCTGGCCTCCTCCTCTTCTCGTTTTCTCGTTGTGGCACTCACGAAACACCTGCCTCACAAAAATACGCTAATTATCTATCACGCGCGCGCGTAAGAGTCATTAGAATGCAGCAATCGCGCGGCACTTTGCACGGCACTTCCGTTAATCGCGATATTAATCGCACGCGGCGCACACTTTATTATATTCCTGTACACGATTATGTCCCAGCGAAAAATGACCCGTCGAATCGACATCTACAGACGTCTAATTAAAGGTCTATAGACGGTCGATTTTATCGTATGTTAGCGACGGAAAGAATAACACGAGAAAAGTACCATTAAATGATAATTAAATTAAATGATAATTTTGATCGTTTTGATTTTGATATTTCTCAAACGCGTAAACGCGTATTTCCCACGAGATATATGTATATTATTATTGAATAAACGATCGTATTATGGACATATCGCAATTTTCCGAGTTACTCGTGGGGTCGTGTATTACATCCGCGCATTTGAATCGCAGGAATCGCACAAGTCATGCGTCTACATCGAAACCTGAAAGTACGACGCGGACATACATTTCGAATCCAAGCGTCGCTAATGAAATAATTATCGCCCGTGAGCATCGCGACGAAATAGCCATTTGTACTTCCCATTATCCACGACTTTGAATCTCTCTTTCGAGTAAATTATTAAAATTAATTACGCCGGTTATCTTAACCTAAACGAACGATCGCCGCCTCCGATATAATTTACGAGTCGTTAATTACGGTAATTGATCGATCGTGCGGGCCTGCAATCACTGGATCGTTTGTAGATCGAATGATCGTATCTCTCGCTACTTACTTGCCGTGATCGAGTTCCGAAAAGTAATATAACTAATAACGCGACGACGCATGGACACCTACGCATCGCTGTCTGTCCGTTCGAGCTTCGAGCCTCGCCGCGCGAATGATAACAATGCGACCGCGCGCCACGCGCCCGCGCGGCGCTCGCTGAGGTAACCGGTAAACACGTGTACGTCACGCCGCGCCGAGCCGTTATACAATAGTTATTTGTGTAACAAGTGCTGTAAGATGAGAATTCACAGGTGCGGAGTTGACGCACGAGCCGAAGGCGAGTGCGGTCACCGCACCCGTGAATTTTCATCTTTACGCACGGCTTGCACACCCTATATTTTATGTTGCAAGTGCGTGGAAAGTGGTCTATCACGCACGCGTAGCGTGCGTAATAGGCCACTTTCCATGCACGTGTTACATAAAACATTTAACGTTTGAAATAAATATTCACTCTTGCTTGAACTTGAAAACTGATTTCGGGTGGATTATTATCGCACATTTCGTTTTGTAGACTCATTAGCGTCACTAATATATATAATAATGTATATGTGTTATTAAAAAATATATACATATAATTATATAATTCCGCTTTTAACAAAGAAGAAAGGGACGTGGTAGATATTATCTGCGATATTCGGAAATATAATTGTCGCTTTCGCGATTGCCCGCGCGATGCGCCTTCGGCCGAACAAGTACTGCGAAATACATATTTTTATAAATCATTAATACCCGAGCGCCGAATCTATACCATGCGATAATAGATACTACAACAAATAATGCACGCAAGCTTAATAAAGGCTTATGCATCTAACAATTTTCTTAATATTCTTTTCTCTATAACACTGCTCTACAACGAGTCGTATGTCGGAGTCGATTGTCGGAACGCAGCTCATGAGAGCGTAGCCAATGAGAGAATTTCCTTTTCGAAAACGAATTCTCCTGATTGGTCTCGGCTTTTGGAAACTGGATCTTACTGGCTCTCCGCATAGCGTCTCCACAATCTCGTTTACTTTATTAAATTCCACGTGGTATACGATGCGTTTTGTAGATCAAACGCATTGTATTAATTTTTATAATTATCTTATTATACCCACTTATTTCATAATTACCTACCGCGTGAGAAAGCGGGTTGGAAAATGGCATTGAGTTTTCAAAGGAATGTCGTTTCATGAAAACCGAGCTCGAAGCCGAGCAAGCGCATCTGTGAATCGTGAAGTGAATTAAACATTAGTGCGACGCGACAGATACAGGAGCGTGCTTCGGAGGTATACGGTATACAGCGTGTACAAAAGATCCAAGATGGAAGACGGTGACAATAAAGTGGAAAACGAAATTGGTAAAGATAGGAAGTCCTACGCCGGCATACCGGAGGCCGACTTTGTGGTAAATACGACTTACTGATATTTAATTTAACTTGTGCCGTACGCGCGCGTTGTCATACGTATTCGCGAAATCCAAGTTATCGCTTAAATTCCGAAACTGTCTTGACTTGCTCCGATTTGTTCTGCAACAAATCTTCGTTAATCGTTTTCTCTCCGCGCGAACGAAAGATATGTATTGCAATATTGTACGGATCTTGAGAAGCAAATCTCTTTGTTATTGTCGACAATTAAAATTTCACGTATGCATTGACTGACGAAAAAGTTTCAATCGATTGATCGAACCTTATATGGTCACCAAAAAATCATGCGGTACCGTTTCCTTATCTTATTATTATAAACTTGCTATTCTATTTCTTATTTTGTCTTTTAGTTAATTCAAGCCTCATATGATTGAATAAGCATGTTGCACACAACTGTTCTTGCGATTGTCTTTATTCATAATTATAATTAAATATCATTTCTTTTGAAATAAAATGTATCCTGTAATTTAAAAACATCCACTAAATTGAGGTTATGATCTGACGTGCGTCGCAATGATTTCAGGACGATGTCGAGGCTTTCATGGCGAAGCCAGAAAACGAATCCGTGGACAAGGTACTCAGAAAGCTCGACGAGAGCCATGGGAAGTACAAGTTTATGGAGTTCAACCTAGTCAACAAACGAAGACGCTTAAAAACACAGATACCAGATCTACAAAGATCTCTAGAAATGATCGAGAAACTACAGGCCGAGAACAGTAGCTTAGAAACGCAATTTTTATTATCGGAACAGGTTTACGCAAAAGCCATAATACCGCCTACTGACAAAGTGTGTTTATGGCTGGGTGCTAATGTCATGCTAGAATATACCTTAGATGACGCACAGGAGGTGCTGACCAAAAATATTGAGGCAGCCAAGAAGAATTTAGGATACGTAGAGCACGATCTGGACTTCGTCCGAGATCAGTATACCACCATGGAAGTGAATATGGCCCGTATCTATAATTGGGAAGTAAAGCGCAGACAAGCGGCAAAACCCACATGAAATCATTCATCTTACTTATACTCGGATTTGCCTAAAACAAGGAGGTAATTTTCTGAAAATTGAAAAAAAAAAAATATATATATATATATACACACACGATATAAAAACATTTTCTCCATTCAACTCAATGAGTCAATCTGTTTTTACACACGTTATTAAAATTCCTATTACTTTTCGCCTCATTATGTTTAATATCATTGTATATTTCAGAATATCTACTATATGAAGAATAAAGTTCATCAATACACAGCACTATTGAAATTCCTAGAATAAAAGACTCAGAAACTTATTTAATTATAAACTCTTGTGACACATCAATATTTATATATATTACAAATATGTCTAGATGTCTAAATTTTTGTAATATTAATTACTAAAAATATTTTTCATCTACCATCCTTCACAGATTGATCTTATATCTATATTGTACAAATCCTAATAAAAAAAAAAATCTCATTCCGATTACAAAGGCAATAAATGATATTACATTTAAGAATACATGTATTATAATAAACGTAAAAGAAATATTTTATTTGTGTCCTGAGATCTACTCTGTACAAACGACGCGTGACATTAAGTACGCATGTCAAATACTTTACATCACAAATTTGTTCTTAGAAAAGAAATCCATATGAAAACTAACAGCTAAATTGCCATTTTTCTTAAATAAAGATACATGAATGAATGAACATATAATGGAATGTATTACACAGAAGTTTAGTAATTTATCTTATAGTCTAACATTCTTAAACGTCATTTATTATAGTAATAAGGCACATAGTCAGACTGACTTTAGAAAAGTCAGTGTCCAAAAAGAAAACAAGAAGACTAGCATGAACTCTGGTCGAAGATATGTTTTCCGCCACGGTTACTCGGCCGTCACTTCATCCTGTTCATACTTTACTAATTTTGATTTTAATTCAGCAATTTTGGCTTTGGACTCCTCCAATTCTTTCTTTAAGTTGTCGATATCCGAAGTATTATCCGCGATACCGCCGAGATTCTTACGTATATAGCTGTAGTATATAGTTAAGGAAATAACTAACGTTTTTGATAATAGTTCGAAGATGCTCTGGACAAGAGCAACAGGACATAACTAATTAACTTGATAATAGTATACTATCAGAAAGCAAACATTTCTCATATAGGAGGAGAGCATAGAAGCTATATATATCGAGCTGATGGCTCGACTAAAACCAAACTTAAATATTTCTCTCTCTTGAAGCTTAGACTGAAAGTTGCGATATTAAACAATGTTGAATCTTGGTTCATAATCAGAAAAGGATACTCTAAAGCATCAGTTGGCTTTTCAACCTCCTCGTAGAGTGAGACGAGTATCTTTGTGAGGGCATCCATGACGCCAGACCTCTCCAAATACTTGCGGAACTCCTCTCGTTTGGCAGTGACCGACTGTAAAGCAAAAAAAGAACTTCGTTATTCATCTCACAAAAAAGAAAATACAAGAAAACAATCGGTTGATGCATTACAACAAATCAGTGCAAAACGCATATCAAATTTAAGTATATCCTAAGCTTCGCAAGAAATATCCGAATTTCATGCATAAATCATATGGACGAATAAAAAAACATCTTGAAATGAATTTTTCATTATTTTTCTGGTCTGCACAGAGATCAAATGGCTGCATTCCTTTTGACGTTGTCAGCGCTGTAAGCATTCTTATCTTCGTTGCATATCGAATATCAAGTAGAGCAATGGAGCAATGGAGCAATATGCTTTCAACGCTGAAAGCATTAAAAAGAATGCAGCCAATGAACATAAAACCAGTATAAAACATTGCACAAGTCGGCTGTAGTTTGTCTTGGAATGTCTAATCGGTTTCTACCGCCCGGCACACCTTCAGTGGAATTTTCTGCAAGCCATTTCTTTTCACCAGACAATCGCAATTTCCAAAAAGAAGAGAAGAGCATCCCGAATTTAATGCACGTGCTAATGTACATTAAATAATCGGTACCGGCAAATAGATATACGTACATATACTATACGTACAACGCAATTATAGCCCATGCCGGGGGGTGGGACGATCGACGTTCCGAAAATAAAACGGCGGCACGTAAACGACGCATGTATCGTTTCAAATCCGGCACGAGGCCGACGATCGTCTTCAAGCAGCGAAGACATATTAAACGATTAATTAATTGGATAATTACCATCGTGACGGATTTCCGAACGGCTTTCTGTCACTGGAGCTTCTTTCGAGAGAAATGGTCCGCGAGGAGCCGGAGGAGCAGCTTACCAACAGCGAACGGATGCGTGGTCACAGCCAAATTAACACGCCAAACGCTTGTCTCTTATCACGCCATAGACGTATATGAGATAGATATGAATAGACAGAACATGGCGCCGTCGGGCGGCAGTAGGCGGCAGGCGGCAATCGTGCATAATAATTTTCCCCTAGGATAGGAAGCGTGAAAAACTTCACGTGACTTGACCACGAGATGAATCCGGGGATAATGGGATAATTCGAGAGGCGGGCATTATCGATCGTCGATATAAATATCTCATCGACAATTTACAGGATTATAAATTTATTATACAGATAAATAAGCGATATTTGTGGTGCAATAATAATATCTTTATATTGCTGAAAAGTTGTATTTTTGTCTGTCACCCACATGGACAGTCAAATCGATAAATTATTAGAATAAGTGCAGTTTTAAATAATAATCGAATATTTTCTTCTTAAAACATATTTGAAAAGTAAACTTCTTTTAAAAAAGAATGATGAAAAAAGCTGCAAATGTGAATCTGTCTATAAATGAACGCTATCTTGCGATCGTTGATTCAATTCAAGAATAATGATGTCTCAAGAAGATGCTTTTTTACATTATGAACTGAAATCAATTTTTTGACATTTGTTCATAATTTTAACGCATTTGAATGGGCTAAGATAATCCTGTATTCGTCACAATAAAATCGTTATGATCGACAGAAGAATCATTTTTCCACGGAAGAATTATTCAATTTCCGAAAGAATACGAAGCTCGATTGCAATTCAAAGAAGCGCCGTTCGCGATTTCGCGCGCCGCGGCTCAGCTGACCTACCGCGCACCTACCCCCGCGCATAATCAAGATGGCGGACCGTCATCAGCAAGTATTCGGTTTACAATCGTCGCGCTCCGAGGATTGATCGCGGAAACGCGGTATTGCCGGTATTACATTCGAGATTACGGTCGCTGCGCGACAGCCTCGGCGATCTCCGCTCGTCGAGGGAAAAGAAACCGTGCGCGATCGCGGCGATGTGGCGCGAGTTTTGGCCGCGCGCGCTCCTGACGTGCGCGATCGGCGCTTGTTCGGTTCTCGGCGATTTCGGGCTGAGGTACGGCAGGAGCGAGTCGGCGCGCGCCGCGTTCGACAATGCGACGCACGCGACGGTGGGCGGTCTCACCTGGACGTTGATCGTCGTCCTCTCGCGGAAGTCGGTCGCGCGCAATCTGAACAGCGTATTCTCCTGCTTCTTGCTGGCGTCCTTCATCGATCTGGATCACTTTATCGCGGCGCGCAGCTGGCACATCCATGTGAGTGACTGGAGTAACATATAATATGCGAACCATTCGAGAATTAACCTTTGAATTCGGATGAGCGATAACGATAAGCGGAGAATATATTAACGATACAGTTCCTAATATACTCGCGGAATATTTATTAATAACACGAGGAAATGTGCGGTGTATTAATCTTTATTTTGTAAAGTATTAAACGTAATAAAATTATTAAAATAAGTTTCAAATTGAATCATTGAAAAATATTGTATACGAGTAATAATTGTAAATATTAAATAGTAATAAAAATTATAAATTTAAGACTTTTATCTCAAAAATTGTTTTGAAATAAAAGTTGTTAATCGAGCAGTTAAAAGGATTATTTTATCAGATATTCCGATTCTAGTTATTTAATTCATTTTTTGCATATATATTTACTTCTGTGCATATAAATCCTTATTTTTTTATATTCTTATCCTTGATCTTGTATTTTTTTATTCTTTCAGGATGCCACGCATTTGCAAAAGCGACCTTTCCTACACTGCACCACCGTTCCTATTGTACTGTGGACACTTTTCATCTCATTTTCCAATGCCTTCCACTCTCCTCTATTGGAACACACTTCCTGGGTGATCCTGGCCGCCTTCCTGAGTCACCACATACGAGACGGTACCAGACGAGGTCTGTGGTTCTGTCCTTTCGGATCTACCCGTCCTATTCCATACTACTTATACGTGAGTCTTTGTATGTCCCTTCCTTACATACTACATTGGCTTATGAGGCTGCACACATTTACGCCGAAGAGTAACGACGATATTATTCTCATTGATGTATAAGATTCGCTTTATAATGCGCATATTGCATACCGAGTGTCCAAATAATCGGACACTTTTTCAAAGCTGTACATATAGAAATTATATTAAGTATTTAATTATCAACAAAGAAGAGTAGTCATCAAATATCAACATTTTCATAGTTTGTAAGGAGGATAGTTTCTCCTATGGAAGGAGAAAAAACTAAAGCTAAAATTGAGCTGGAAGAAATAGATATGAAGACATTTTTTATTAAATTAAATACATATAATGTTTGTTTTTTTAGTAGAATCTTAATTTTAAATTAAATTATTTAATTAAAAGACATCTAACGTGTTATGAGATGTCACATTTACAGTCATGGGTGATTTTAAACCATTTTTATTTGTTTTATTCGAATACAGATGTTTAAGAATTGTAATAGTATTACGTATTTTTTTATTATTTTTCTAAGAATATCTGCATACGTAAAACATTTAAAAAATGCATAAAAATAGCTCCGTACTATAATATATTTTCGAAACAATTATATTATTAGGATTTGTACAGAGGATCGTTTTATATATCTTTATCTAATAACTATACATAATGTCACTTAAGTTTATAATCTGCACTCACTTAATTTTATCGCAAGAATTAAATGCGGCTGTGATGTTTGACAATGATGTAATATGTATGACAACGACGATACGTTACATCGTCGCTTGCTCGAGCGAAAGGGAAAGTCGGAATAAAATTTTTCCAAGTTGCGGATGGCAACTCGGTTTAAACTTTAACACATCCGCGTGCGCGCATGACGTATACATATTTACAACTGCAACGTCGCCGTTGCAGCTGTGCGTGGTTTATGGACGAATCCCACGTGCGTTTGTTTTCTATGCCTGCACGTTCAATACGCCGTATATGCGCTTTTCATGCGGGACACCGCCAGTACTCGCATACCTCGAAATATATTCTCACTGTCCGCAGGAATATAATTTTGTAATTAATAATAAATAGCAAGGCTATTTGACGCCCACGCGTTAATAACAGTCACAAACCAAGTGTGTTGTTCATACTCTCATCTCTATTTTTAAATGACTCGGTCTTATGCACCTGAAAGTGAGTCACTCCTATTTTTTTCCCAAAACTTACATCCAGCATCCTTTGTTGCACCATTAATTTATCTAGACAAAATTTTATCTCCTTTATTGTCTTACGCGATATTGGTTCTTTATTAATATATCTTCGGAAAAAAAGTTTAATATATATGATATCGGTACGTGCGAGATCCGATCCGGTACTCGAATGACTAGAAATAAAATTGATAAACCGTAAAATTAAAAAAAATCCTCGTTTGAAAGGGGCAAAATCCTCGTTTGCTTATGATGATGAACATTATCAACGATACTCGCGATAGCGAATTCCGAATGGTCCTCTTCGCTTGCGAAGGTAATTCACGGTATACTTTATTGCCGTTTGCGGCGTATTCGAGCGAGCGTTAGCGGAATTATCGATGTCTGTCGAACGAGCAGGAATTATCGGCGCATTACGCAACCGGGCATTCCTGCCCAGGTGCAGGACACTATACGCGGGGACGCGTCTCCGTGGGTGAGAGCGCGGAGGAGGCCCGCGCGCGGATGTCCCCGCGGAGAGACACGCAAGTCGCCACACGTGTGTATACACACGTCCGCGATCGCTGGAAGGGGTTTATCAGCATTCGGCGTTGCTTAGCTGGCAACTGCCGGCTTCACCTCACCTCGCTCTCGCCGGTCTCGCTTAGTGCCCGTTTAACTAGCCGGTCGTGCCGCACCTGTCGCACCAGACGATCGCACCGGACCGTCCGATCGCGACGAGAACCTGACGCGCGGAGGTCCGGGAACCACTTTTCCTCTCCCCCGTCTTTCTCTCCCACTCGCCTCTCTTCCTTTGTGGAACCTCAATCGCGATTCCGCTTATCAGCACTGTCTAAATCCTTTCGCGGATCTCTTGATCCCAAATTTGATTTTTTCACGACTGGTCGGAAGACCGCGAGTACTTCTATTGTGGGATCTACCAACATCATGAAATCCACAATGCCATCGCTTCTCAGTAGATACGCGAGTAAATCGCGATAACACGCTGATATCGGTAATCTTGAGCAAACGCGCGACATCTTACATAGACAACGTCGCGAGCGAGGCATGACAAGACGGTGTTCGCGAATTCGGCTGGTTGATTCATACTCACGATGGTAAGTAACACGGTTAGTTTCTCCCACTTTCGAGTGTTTACATATCTCTCGAATGATCCCCCGAGGTCGATCGTACGGTCCCTGACCGCAAATTGCTCAAGGCATCACGTGCAAGCAGTTACCCTTTCCGCTTTTTCCGGCAAAATTCCGAGTCGTGTTTTGCTCGAGTGTCGTAAACAGTGTACATCAGTTTATCCGAGTTATCGATCATTTGTGTGACGTTATTAAAATAGTTATGCCGTCTGCGTAATAAGCCTCATGGCAAAGATGATATTCTTCGATATATCCTTGTCCCCGGTAAGTTTCCACATCTGGCGATCGTAAATTATCTCTGTGCTGACAGCAACACAAAATTTAAGTAGGATATATATTTAACAAGTTATACAAGTAACTATACCAATTTTTTTGAGTATTTGCAAGAATACGCTTCTGATTTGTGTGAAAAAACGTGTATCTATATTTAATACATATTTTACCGTAAATAATATATATAATAGCCTATTTTTCAGAGTTTTAATGCATATAATTGGTGTATTATCTTGAATCGAGTTATCTGATAATTCTCCATATCAACGAACAAATATTCCTTTAATAGCTCATAACTTGATGATTAGGCCCGTAAAGAATGACAAGAATTTATATTTGGACTAAATTTTAGAATCACAGTTAAAAGAGAAAATGTTTAAAACTAACGATGCTCAATGATTCGCGATTAAAATCGCGTCCTCTTTTCTCTCACCTTACTCTCTCGGTTTTTCTCACGAACAAATGCAGGAGATATTTACAAATTCTAGTAGATCTCGTATCGTCTTAATTGATCACGTCCGTTCGCGCATCTCGTTATTAGAAATACAGCAATGCGCACGCAAGGTCGGATTGGCGCGAACGAGTCGATGAAGTACTTTAGAGATTCACGAGATAAATTCTGATTAAAGCGTCGCAATATAGTGATTCGAGGAAACCGTTCCTGACTTTGTTAGCAATCATTGATCGTCGGAATTATAAATACTGTTTACGAAACCTCGAGGAAGCGGATATCGGGCCGCGCGCACGACAGAAATTCCATCCACAATCTTGCACTCTCGTTTCCGATAACCTTGTTACCTGAAACTTTCGCTTCATCGCTCTGATTAACGCTTGTCTGTCAAAATCGCGATGCACGAATTTTTATCGCGATATGCCAGATAGACGAATAAGTAGATTTCCCGTCTGTCCCCCATACTAGCGGGCGATCTTCGTCCCTCTCATCTTATTTGGATTTAATTCTTATTTTTTCTTAAGGGGAAAGTGACTCTAAACTCTTCTTTCTAGGGAACTCTCGACGATTTGACGCTATATTTTTACATTGCATGCGGTATCACCGCCGGCGCGCTTATCACGCTATTCGTTTTGGTGATCGTGCTATTCATGAAAGTAAATCGATTAGCCGAGGACGGGTGAGTAATACATCCTCTTTGTCAGTCGACAATTGGGACAACAATCGAAGGTTTCGGTTACGTAATCCATAAAAGATATTAAATATTTAACAAATATCAATCATGCTGAATTAACGTCAAGCGTAAACATTAATTAACATACCCACATTCTAATCCGTCGATGATAAGTATATACCTTATTATTGCGCAAAAATGCGTATAGTCGAAGATCATGGGCGTCGTGACGTGTTTCAAAATTTCTATGTGGTTGAGCCGTGCCGTAGCTAAATACATATTACTGTCCGATCGCGAATCGTCGGCGACGTATTTCATCAGGTACATGCACACGAAATATCCGGTTTTGAGAGCTTCGTGGAAACATCTTATTCGTAAAATAAACGTGTCTCTTTTGATAATAGGTTCTTACACATTTCTGCACTTCGGACATTCTCTTCCGTTATTACATAATTCAGTAAAATCTAGGTGATCGAAAAAAAAAAGATCAAACCACATAATTCCGGCCATTTACTCGCAGAGCGTAAAAATTGTGCATTGGAAATTGTTTTAATTGACTATACGTTTATGAACGCCGATGTAATTCGATTATCGAATATTGCGGGCAACACAGACTGATATTTTGCTGTGATTACTTGATTGCTTCACTTAGCAGTGCACCTGCGCGGCGAAAGGAAAGTAGAAAAAAAAGGTCTGATACATATCTGCAACGGAGGTAGTTAGATATTTTCGCATTTCTACCGCAAGAATGAAAATATGCATGTTTCTTTTGTGAGTCACGTAGCCGACGACGAAATCATTGATAGCGTATCTTTATTGCCACCATTATTTCGTTTATCCCATCCAAGAACGTAGAGCGGTAATAATGATAAAAATTTTTTTAATTTAATTACTAATTTCAGTAATTTCTGGTTTGCTCGCGAGTGTTTAATACGAAGATGCATTTCAATCGTAGTTTCGTGTTGGTTTTATCCCGATTGTTACATGTGAGAGTAAATTGTAACGTCTCTTGTTACGTAGAGATTTATTTTCTTTGTTTCGTCGAGTTACTTTTCTTTCCTTCCGCAATTTTTCGAAAATATCTTCAGATCTTCTTTCGACTTACTTCCGACACGAAACTTGAAGAAACTCCTCTTTGGTCCAAGTTTCGTTTTGCAATTCCTTCAATCGCTCATTACTAATATCAATAATCACTATTTCCTTCATGTAACGTCCGAGAGACATTCCTCATTGTGATCCTCATTGTAATCGGCGATCGATTTAAATTTCTGTCGTGACAATCACCTTCATCGAATCCTCATTCCTCTCTGGTAGTTTCTCGTAGTAACGATCGATCGCTGTGGTTGAAACTGAAAATTGATTTAGGTCCAACCAACTAAACAGGCAGGCGAGTATAATGGCGGACTTTTGTTACACCAATCCCACGATCGTGCCTGGTGAATTACTCTCTCGTCGTGGCTTCTCCATGTACAGCGGGGCCGACAACTTCGACGAGGACTTCGGCAAGAACAAAAACGTCCATTACGGAACGTATCATGAGGCTCGATCGAAATTCTGATCGAAAATTCGAAATCTGAGATGATCGATCTCATATCGTTAGTGCAGTTTATCCGCGCCAATTAATCAATCAAATAGAGATTAGTAATGTAAAAATATTAATTTAAGTTATTATTAGCTAGATCCAATTATTATTAATAGTATTATTTACTCCTAAATGTATAGTATTTCTCTGTGTAACTTATTGCGTAATGTACATACGCCCGCGATTCAGCATCCAAGTTCAATTTTTCTGATTGACTTTACGCAGATGTTATACATATGTATATGTATATGTCGCCTAAGTATTGAAAATTTCCACGGCCTTTCGCTGCGGCGTGAAATAACGATTAAAATCGATAGAGTTCGATCGATATGCAATATGTAATTGATAATTGAAAAAAATCGAAGTGCCATTTTATCAGAGACAATTTCCAATTGCGTTAACTTCGATTTAGCTGCAACATCTTTGAGTATCATCGAATTATTGAAATAAAAATTAGTAGACATCTCGAAGAACAATAGAAACGACAAGATAACACGCGAATACAATCATTTATTTGTCATATTATTATTATTATTATTATTATTAAGGCTGTTTTCATCGCTATCTGTTTTATCGGTTATCCCATTCATCGATGCTGAAAGTTTGTCAGAGAACGTTTAGATGTCTCCGCATACATTTCACGCCGCAGAGAAAATATACACGGTGCTCCGAAATGATCGCACTTCTTTTCCTCAAGATTGGGACTTGAGATGCATAACTTCTTGAGATGCATTTAGGACGCGCAATATTTTTCAATATACGAGAAGAGGGTAATGCTAGACTTTGTGCAATATACTAGTCGACTCAATATTTTTTTTACAGATTCCATAATCCGTGAGGATCTAGCCAATGTATAAATGATGATGTAATATAATATTGAAGTAATATGCAATACCAAAGATAACATCATGCTATAATTTAAAGATCACGTAGACTGGAAAATAATTAATTGCTTAGCAGAATTTGAGTTTTAGTATTCAAATTTACGAGAATTTGCTTGATACTCATATTTATCATATGCATAATAGTATAGTATACGCACAGATAAGATACAATTTAAAAATAGCACTTCTGAGTAAATTAAATTTAACAACAAGGTAAATTAAATTTAACAAAGTTTGAACTAATTAAATAATTAATTTAATTAGGTTAAATTATGAAATTATAAATAAAAATGCAGATGTTTTATCTACAATTTCGTAAACAGTTACACGCAAATATGTAATATAATCATAATTGATTATTTTCCGGTACACATGTCGAACACATTCTTCTGTATTGTGTCGTTTATTAGTGTGTTATTAATTTAAATATATACTTCTTGCCATATATGATTTAAATATATATGTATATACATACTTCATTATTCAAGAAAGAAGACGAACCTTACTCTACCCGGTCAGAAAAGATTACAAGTTGATTTATCACGATACTTTTAGCAAAGCATTCGTCAAAAAAGCTATTTGTCATAAATTCTCATAAATCTTAATTAAACTTTACGACCGTCACACAAATATTACATCAGTCGCAATTAGATTTTAATTCAACGCAACAGGTGTTCCAATATAGTATTTAAAACATTTCTAGAGACTGTAAGAAATAAATTGATTCCGATATCTGAAAATACTTTCTTTTCGGGACCATATGCAGCGTCGATACTCCAATATTCATCAGTAACGATGCTGGTACCAGGTATTCGACACTTTCGCCTCGGTAGGGTCGGTCATCCTACCTGCAGTCGTGGTGAAGGCGGCTTCCGTTCCGGAAGCGGCGAAATCGCGCGCGGGAACGGCGATGGCGGCGGCCGGGGTATGTGTAGGCAATGGCACGGGGATAGGCCGTAATTGGTATAAAATCATCGAGCAAACACATCGGACAAGACAGCCCGGGGATTGTGGGCGGCGTTGCGTGCCGTCGCCCTGGTTACCGTGGGGGCGACTCCGCTAAAGCGGACCCTTCGTCCCCGATTGCGCGCAGGCCCGCCGTCGACACACACCTGCGTGCGTTTGTTTGTGCTCGTGTGTATGCGTATGCGCGCGCGCGTGTGTGTGTGTGTGGGTTTATGTGGGTGTGTGGGTGTGTGCGATGGGTCCACCAGAATCCAATGCGCCACCCTTACCTTTCCTCAGCGCTGCACGCCAGATTTACCGCCACCGGCATCGCCGCAGCAGCGCCAAGGATCGCCTCAGACCAGCGCGATTCTCGCCCCGTGGCCCGTGCGGTAATCCGCTTCCGTCAGAATCGTCGTCTCCGCGCCGAAATTTTTCTGCCATTTGCGGCAGCTTTTTCCGATTTTGTTTATTTGCGACGACGAGCATTTCAGCGCGTCTTCGTAAATTGACTCTGAAAGAGAATTTGTATGTAACAGAATTTCTCTGCATTTTGCGAGAATACAGATTGAAACAATTTAATTGGGCATAATTATAAGCTAAACAAAATCGCATAATTAAGTTTAAGCATTAGCCTATACAGCGTAGTCACAATTACTTACGTAACTCGCAGTTACTTCTATGCGAACCCTGAATTTGATTTCACCTAGTTTCATTTATGAGAACATCGCGGTTTGCGCTACATCCCCATAAATCTCCATAATCCGTGTCTTAATGATAAGCAAATACCACGCCCCGCGATACAAATGTTTCTACAGCGCACGCAACCTGTCAAGTGTTTAGTTTAATCAAAATCCCCCCTCTAGCCTAAATCCGCGTTTATATCCCTAATCGCCGGGAATAATAGCCACTTCTGCGGTGCGGTACCCTCGATCGGTGCAGCCGATGCATATGTTGTTCTTCGAGGGTGTCACGCACGACGCGCGATATTATCCTTCGTCTCTGTA